TCGTGGGGTTAGAGACTCGCATGTTCCTCTAGCCTAACTAGTGGTTGTAACACTAATATTTTATAACGTACCTAACAGGTTGGCCGGCCACACAGGTTAGCCGGCTACTTTTGCCAAGCCCCTACTAAAACCACTCTATTCTAGCGTAAAATAGCCTACTTTAGCTCTATATAAAGCAATACAACATAAGATATTATTTAAAGTCTACTTTTACTACTTTCTTATATGTATGTAAGTTATGCCTAGTCTAATTATACTGTCTATATTACTTTTAACTTAGCTTACTTTTTTTAGCGCGCACTTGCATTTTTAGCTTCTTTCTATTACTACGCGCTCTAAACTCCTTTAGAGTAGTTAAATAAGCCTTATTTTTAACTATTAAAGTTTTTTTTGCTTAAATTTACTTTCTTTTATATAATTTATGTTATGTAGCAGCCTTATTTACTACTTAAAGCTTTATAATCTTTTTTTACACTAACACTAGCTTATGCGCAATAATTGCTGCCCTTTTTAAGACTTTTTTAAAGGCCTTTACTATAAACATTAGTAAGCTATTTATATGCTTCTAAATTTTTACTTTTATAAGCATTAATTACAACTTAAATTTAAAAGTATTACTTAAGGTTTACAACTACTAGGGCTTATTATTAATAAGTAGTAGTAGTAATAAAGTATATAAGTAAATATTAAAGGCTATTTTAACTTATTCTAAGTTAAATAGAACTAAACTAGCGCTTTAAACCCCTTTTTAGATATTACTAAAAGTAATTACTATATTATAGGCGTGTATAAAGCATAGTAAAAACTTAAGTTTTATAATATAAGTAATTTAGTTATATATAAAACCTTTAGCTTAGCACTTATATGCTTTCTTTAAAGGGGCAAAACAACCTACATTAAAAGGCTATAAAAGGTGTAATAAGTGTAAAAGTATATAAATAGTAATAATCTTTTTTTATAGTACTACTAAAAATTAAGTAAGTTATAGCTTTTACAGCTATTAATAATAAAAAGCTAATCAGCGCTTATAACCATTTTTTATATGCTTATTAAAGTGCTTTAACTACTATAGCTTAAGCTTATTTATTATCTAGCTATTTTTAAAAACTATAATACCCTAGTTCTAAGGTAGATTTTTTTTATACTAAGTAAAAAAGTAATAGCAGCTTTTAAAAATAATAAAGAGTAAAATAGCTTACTTTATTATATTAATGCTCTAAATAACTATTATCTACTTTTTATTACTTTACTATAACGTACTTCATGGGTGAGTCGCTCACACACCTGAGTCGTTCACTTTTGCTAAGACCCCACCCTAACAAACTCTATTATAGCCTATAACAACCCGCTCTAGCACTATATAGTACAGTACAGCCTAGAATATTATTTAGATACTACTTCTACTTCTTGCTTACACATTTGTGTGTTATGCCTAGTCTAATTGCACTATCTGCAGCGCCTTTAGGATAGCTTACCTACTTTAGCTTGCACCTGCTTTTTTACCTTTTTTCTATTACTGTGCGCTTTAAACTTCTTTAGAGCTGTTAAGCATAGGCTTTTTTAAATTATTAAAGTTTTTTTTACTTTAATCTACTTTCTTTTATGCAATTTATGTTATGTAGTAGCCTTATTAGCTGCTTAAAGCTTAGTAATTTTCTGTTACACTAACACTAGCTTATGTGTAATTATTACTACCCTCTTTAAGACCTTTTTAAACACCTTAACTATAAAAGTTAGTAAACTATTTATATACTTTTAAATCTTTATCTTTATAAGCATTAATTATAACCTAAGTTTTAAAGTATTACTTAGAGTTTACAACTGCTAAGGCTTGTTATATATAGGTAGTAGTAGTAATAAAGTGCGCAACTTTACATTAAGGCCTATTATAACTTATTATAGGTTAAAAAGAACTAATTTAGCGCCTTAAAACTCTTCTTAGATATTACTAAAAGTAATTATAGTATTATAAGCTACTTTAAAGCATAGTAGAAACTTTATCTTTATAATATAAGTAATTTAGTTATGTATAAGGTTTTTAGCTTAGCGCCTATACACTTTTTTTAAAGAAGTAAAACAACCTATATTAAGTAGCTATAAAAAGTGTAATAAGTAAAAAAGTATATAAATAGTAATAATCTTGTTATCTTTATAGTATTACTAAAAATAAAGTAAGTTATAGCTTTTATAGCTGTTAATAACTAGCAAATAGTAGCTGCTAATAGTACACTTTTTTATATGCATATTAAAGTGCTTTAACTAGTCTAGACTAAGCTAATTAGTAGTCTAGCTGTGCTTAGAAATTATAATAACTTAATCCTAAAGTAGATTTTCTTCTTTATACTAGTTTAAAAAGTAGTTGCTACTTTAAAAGATAATAAAAGGTAAAATAGCTTACCTTTTAGCATTAATGCCTTAGATAGCTATTGTCTACTCCTAGTTACCTAGCTAGACTGCTTTTAGCTGTCTTTATCTTTTTAAACTTATAACAACTGCTCTAGTAGATATCTAGCCTATTATAAACCCTATCTTATTAAAGTTGTATATGTTATTATTCTAGATACTATACTTAGCTTTAATATTCTCTATAAAGTTAAACTAGCTTTAAATTACTATAAGATTTTTATAAAAAGCTCTTTTATAGTTATACTTACACTTAAACTTTACTTTAAGCTTTAAGTAACACTTAATAAACATATTAGGCTAGTTTATGCTAACATAGCCTATATTATGCTTAGCGTGTAAAGAATTAGCTATATTAGCTACAGCTACTAGCTAGGGGGGAAATCCTTGCGCATCTAGCTTAAGTATGTGCTAAATAATTACCTACTTTTTATTATTGTCTAGCTTTTATAAGTTAGCTGTATAATTAGCTTAGAAAAGTTATTTAGTGTGTTAGTTACTTATTATCTTTTAAGAGACCTTATAGATAGCTGTAGTGTGTTAGTTAAAAAGTGTTATGTCTTATTTAAAAGCTTAGAGTGTAAGCTGCATTTAACATTTCTTTAACATGTTTAAGTAGTGTTGTTAGGAATGCATTAGTGTAGAAAGAGTAGTGTAGTGGAGTCTTAGCAAAAGTAAGCGACTTAGGTGTGTAAGCAACTTGCCTATAAAGTACGTTATTACTTTTAGCTATTCTTATCTCTTTAAAGCTATAATAACTGCTTTAGTTAATATCTAGCTTATTATAAAGCCTAACTTATTAAAGTTATATATGTTTTTATTCTAGATACTATACTTAGCTTTTATATTAGCTACTAAGTAAAACTAGCCTTAGATAACCTTTAGATTCTTATAAAGCACTTTTTTATAATTATACTTATAATTAAACTTTATTATAAACTTAAAGCAGTGCTTAACTTACATACTAGGCTAGTTTAAGCTAACCTAGCCTAGATTACGCTCTACGCGTAAGAAATTAGCTATATTAGCTACAGCTATAAGCTTAGAAAGAAATCTGTGTATAATAAGCTTAAGTATATACTTAATAACTACTTTTTTTTAAGCTTAGTTAGATTTCTTAATTTAGGCTAGCATTTTACTTATAAAGGCTGTCTAGCGTGTTAATTACTTAGTGTTATATAAAAAACATTATAAATAGCTACAGCATGTTATAAAAAAGTTTTAAGTTTTATTTAAAAGCTTAAAAAGTAAGCTATATTTAATATTTTTTAGAAAATTTAATCTAGTGTTGTTGTTAAGGCATTATGTAGATAGGTAGAGTGTAGTAGGGGCTTAGCAAAAGTAGCTAGCCAACCTGTGTAGCCGGCTAACCTGTTAGGTACGTTACAATTATTTACTTTTTAGTAATAGTAAGTTTTTAGTAATTTAGTTATATTGTAAGTTAAAACATGATTTTACTAAGCTAAGTAGTAAGCTGCTAATAAAGCATATTAAAAGCTACTATAGCTTATTATATATGTTTAAATTAGTGTAAGCAGTAGGACTAGAGCGTAAGAACAATTCTGCCTTCTTGCTAAGTTAGTATAGTCTTACATTGTTTAGGCATCGCGTCTTGTACGTGGTGTTCGCAATTCTAAGAGATTTTTGTTAGGTTTAATAGTTTAGCGGGTTTGATAGTAGAATACGTTATATTATTATATACTCTACTATACATTGCCCTTCTTCTTTTCTTTACACAGCAGCGTTAAAATAAAATAATAATAGACTCCCTAGACTTTCTAGAGCTTTAGATGTGTGGTTGGGGGGGTAGGGAAAGGCCTGCAGTACTAATTTAGGTGGGGGGAGCACTTTTCCGAGTCTCCTGAGCTCATAAGCGAGGGCTCAGGCTGTGGGACAGACTTTTTGGATTGACGGTACTTATTGCCAACGCACGGGTGGATCCTCCAGAGGGTATGACTCATGAGATAACACACTGCACCCGTGTGCACTTCATAGTTGGTTACCGTTTTCTTAGTTCTCATCGGGGCGTCCCTGACGAGCCCTCTCCCTAGGGTCGTAACACCCCTGCTTGCGGCTGACGCTACCACAAGGACAGTCTGATCTCTGGCCAGCCTTATCGAACTATAACACGCTACAGAGAGTCAGGACACAACTTACATACATGCAAGAAGCATAATCTAGGTGCTGCTTAATCTAGAATAGCTGCTTAATCTAGAATAGCTGCTTAATCTAGAATAGCTGCTTAGTCTAGAATAGCTGCTTTATTAATTATGTTCTAATGCGTTGTTAAACTGCGTAACCTGAAAGATGCAGAAAGTTTAGTTGGGGTGGCATCTCCCTTGTAAAGTACGTTAGGGGTAGTAAGAGAGTAAACCTTAGGGTTAAAGGCAGAGGTACGGAGGCTGAGGAGCCTATACAACTGATGCTAAGCCCCTAGGGCACCCAAGAGTCAGATAACTGTGACAGTCATAGACTATGAAATTTACGGCGATGAAATAGGAGGGCTAAATTCCAATACTGAAATACACCGTTCCCGAAATGAATCGTAGGGATGACTAAATTTGAACTGTCTAGAGATGTGTGTACCATTCTTTGTTGACGTGACTATGTTCTCGAGCTTAGTTATTCTAGCCCAGTTTGCATACCTATTAATCTCTTATATGTCGGCCAACATCCTGAACCACAGCCTAATAGCAGGTCAACGCCCATATCAGAATAAAGCACAAACACTCGGGTTACCTCAGGCTCCAATTCCTGCCATCACTCTTTAAGACTGGCCCGACTAGAATTCCTTCGCTCATGTATTGCCAACGTGTATCTCAACTTGGATACAGGGTTGGATTCGGTTCGAATTGACATTGCAATTCTTCAGAGCGCAACATCACTCTTCCCGAACACAGACTCTTCCAGCTCAATTCTTGTCACATGCGCGCCCGGCACAACGACCAGCCCGACATAGCGGCTGCTCCAGCTCACGGGTGCGGACATTTCCCCGGGGGCCTCAACGGTCCGGCAGATCTCGGCTTCGGAGGGCGCTCGATATTCGTAGGTAAGCGCGAGAATAATGTTGCGATCCTAAGATATACTCAACATGCATGCACAATATAGAAAAAGATAGAAAAGTCGCTTGGAAGTTTGACACTGAAGGTGCGTATGGCGTAGCACATAGTGTAGGATAGAAATTGAGATAGTGCCGACCTTGTCTGTACACTTCATTTGTCCCCCAAAAATGCGTTTATCCGTAGTATGGAGGCGAAGGTTCTTGCCGATCAACTGGGAGAGGTAGAAACTTGCCTCTGAATTGTCCATTACCCGCAGGAACCAGTTGAAGATTCACAGATTATTTAACGATCCTAAAGGGTGTGGTTTAGATTTTATCAACAGCCGAAGCAGAAGGAAGCAGAGGAGAGAAGTGACTGTTGGAAAGCGCCCATTGGGCTTGGCACATTCGCTTCGTTTGCCCCGATCCCGGCGCCATGTCTGCTCTTCGATAATTTTCTCCAGCAGCACGGCCGGCCATGAATCCCATACGCCGGAGCTGTCAGTCAGCCCGACTCGGATTAAACCCAACAGTACCGATCGCAAGTGGCTCGCGACGCGCATTCTCTCAATGCAGGGCGTGCCAGCGGGGTTCTCTACCCCAATTCCTCACGCCGTCAACCCCCGAGCTCTCGACACTGCTCTCGCGACTGAATTCCAAAATCCTTCTCCCGGCACACCTGAACCACGACCAACAACTACTTGTCTATAAGAAGAAGAACCAGACTCGTCTCGAAGCCGAAACAATCAACATCACCCTTGGCGAGGTCACGCTCCCTCTGGAGCACATCGACCGCAATCGTGACATCCCCAACAAATGGCATACTTTCAAGACTGTTGTGGAGGAGTCGTCCACGCCAGAGGATTGGGAGAATGTGCTGAGAATGGTGGAGGGATTTCAAGATGCGAGTATACAATTGCCGGAGGGCTGGATGCAGAAGGTGGTCAGGAGGTTGAATCAGGCGGGCATGCAGCATTTGGTGCTGAAAGCGCTGCAGAGGGCTAGCGCTACGGGCATGAGTTTGGAGGATCCGGCTATTGCACACTTCGTCATGATGGGAATCCATGACAAAGCGGCCTCCTCGAATTGGGAGAAAGAGGAGACAAAGAAAGCGCTGAGTATGGCGGAGCAAGTCGTTGAGCTAATGGAGCGGAAAGAGCATTTGGGACGGAATGACGTCCTCCCGGGCGACCTGAGATCGAGTCCTTTCGTAATAGCCATCCCTCTCGAGATGGCTGCTGTGAGGGTGAAGAAGTATACCGAAGGTCAGGATAAGGACGGAAAGGTCGCGAGGTATGCATTGAAGATCATGATTGCCCTTGAGCAGGATGATTGGGTCAAGGTATGTAGTCTACATTATCGCTGTACGAATGTTCCGAAACTCATAGGGCAAAGGTCAGCCTCGCCAAGGAACTAACGGCCATGACTCCATCTCAGGGTCTCAGATCCGCTAAAGACACGCTACTAAATCTCAGACGCAGAATTTGGAAGCTCATTCCGTTGTGGAACGCCCTGAAGACAGCGAACAGTGTCCTCGGTGCCAATATGCCAATGGCAAAGGAGGCCCAGAAACTAGTCGCTAATCTTCGAAGGGGACTTGCCGATGGCGAAGTGTCTATTGATGAATTAACCGCTACGAAGACAGAGGGATATGTAAGATCTGTGAGAAAGGCGATCAAGGACTGTGAAGAGCTCTAGGGTGAAGAATTCTGTGTACCATATTGTACTGTATTGTAAGACCAAAATAGAAATGGGCTTCGTTGCAGTGGATATCTTCCTAGAAGCCATGGTGCCCTACAAGTGCATGTCAAAAAAATCCCCCACCAAGCTATAACCCCTACAATACTCCGTCACATTTTCGGGATCTTCTAGACGGGCGCGAGCTCCCATCCAACCATGATGCATGTTCGCGAACGTTTCGACCACATTCGCATTCGAATTCTTCAACGTTTTCTCATACGCCTGAACCTGTTCGGGAGTCCCATCTTCCTTGGAGAACAGGCAGATGTACGGAATACTGATTTGAGCGGCGTCACTAGAGTCGAGTCGGCTTCCTCAAATTAGCTGGAATCCGTTGGGAAAGGCAGGCAACACGTACCCAGGGTGCGCTGTCCCGGCTGCTTTGAACGTTGATTCAGGACCAGAGAGTATCGCTGTCATTTTCCCACCCCAGCATAGGCCAAAAGCTCCCCAGCTCTTAATGCTTGGAAATTTCTCGGCCGCTGCCGTTTGTACTTGTAGTGCGACCGGTTTATTCTTCGTAAAGTCTGCCTGGTGTTATCAGACCCTGAAATAGAGATTCACTGAAGCACACGTACCGTCGTGCTTATAAAAACCTTCGCTCTCTCTCTTTTATTATCGTTGTCTATAGGGAAGACATCCAAGCCCAGAGGTTCACCATGGAAAAAATCGGGAACTAGTACTACAAAGCCCATTGATTTGGCTAAGATGTCTGCGCCCTGCAGCGTTTGTGGTGCAAGTCCAAACACGTCAAAGAAGAAGAGGATTGCACGGCTCGCGCTTTCTGAGCCAGTGACGTAGACGTTGAGGTTAGCCAGAGGAATATATGTTCCCTGAGGTTTGTAGTCCGATTGCACAGCGTTTTGAGCACAGCAGGCTGCTGGAAGGGGGACGGCGTCGGACATTTGTTTGGGGAAATCTAGCGTCGGTGTCTTGATTGTAGAGGTGCAGGCCAGCATTTATACTATGATTAAATCCCGACTCCTTGCTCGCAAAGATTTGGAATAAAACTAGAACGGCGAGAGTGACTCTAAGTAAGCTCGAGAGATCGCTAAAATGAAACACGATGATTGGCTAATGGAGATACCGGGCTCGGGTCCGGAGCTAAGAGAAGTTCGGGCCGAAACCATAGACAAGCAACATTGGAGGGTTCTGCTCGCTCTCAATTCTGTGTAGTGGAGATAGGCATGAGAAAATGCGGGGGAGGGGGCAAGCGTTACAAGGGTCTATATGAATAACAAGAATATGAAATAAGATAAGTGGCCCAAAGACACATCTCAATTCCGGATTGTGGGAATAGACATTTGATTAGGACTAAACAGGGGCAACATACAAAGGTCGAAGCATAAATGCAGATATGTGTCCCTAGTTCATTGAGACACATCTGCTTGTCTATTTATACAGATACTTAAATACTAAGGTAAACACCAACTACTCTACCTCTTCCTCTTCGACTTTATAGGCTTCTTACCTGCTCCACGTAATCGCTTCTTCTCTGCATTTGCCTCCTTCCTAGCCTTTGACTTCCGCCAGGCAGTCCATCGATCTCCGGGGATGAACATCTTGGTCTGGACATTTGCCCTCTCCGCTGCGCGACCAATATCCCAATTAGTCTCACGGAAAGTGTATCCCCTGCTCATTACTAGCTTGCTTGACGTCCTGTCTCGTGGCAAAGCCGTAATGTCTGTGTTGTTCTCCATCCCATCTCCGCCCTGAAAATCGCCTACCACAAGCTGACCTTCAAGCGTCTCTGGCTCTGATTGGGTTCTGACAGCAAGCATGCCCAGCCGTCTTCTTCGTGCAGCATTCGGAGGGTATGGCAGCGTTTCGTGTTTCTCGAAGACCACGCCAATGTACTGGCGCATTGGGTGCTTTAGCGGATCACGATAGTAGCGAACGTAGCCAGATCTAGTCGCGTAGATGCAGTGATCGCGGCCCATAGCGCAGTTTTCCCCAGGAAACCAAGCTGTTCCGCGTTGCCGGAAGATGATGTTGCCAGGAATTACATATTCTCCTACTCAATTCATTAGTTATATGTATAGAGATCCGCGAGGAGATGGACATACCGCCAGACTTCTTCGCTCCTAGCCGTTTGCCAGGCCCTTGTTTGGCGCCATTGGCTCGGCCTTGGGTCTGATGAGATGCGTGTCGTACGAACGCGAGGGTCGGGGAGGGGATGAAGGAGCCATTGGCGGCGCGCAGTATGTCGACGCGGACCGATGATACAAGAGACGCTGAGGATAGTCTTATAACCATTCGGAGAGGCGCGAATATCCGTGGAAGCAGCATGGTTGCATCGAGCATGTTTTCACGTCAACTAAACGCTCTTGCAGAGCTCAAGAATTATCTGAAATACTCAAGCGCACAGGTAGTGCCAAGGTCACGTGAAAAGTGGGTCCAGGTCGGTCACTTGCCACATCATCTGGGCCCATATTGAGCGGCAAAAAGTCAACGCCAGAAGCCTAGCAATGATTATCTAGACCAAAACAATCAGGAAAAATCGTCTGTTGTTCTATTATCTATAGAAATTGTTATCTCCAAGATTTTCAACACATTTCTGGAGTCTTGAGCGGAAATCTGCGCCCTCACGATCGCGCTTCTCCTGTGAGAGCCCATACCACGCCTCTTAAGCCCTCTCACGTATAGCCTTTTCTGAGAGCTGGTTGCTCTAATTTTGAGCACGTAGGGTCTCAAACCTATCCTTTATTAGATTTGGTGAATGAGGAGGCTAGTTAACAACCCGTACTCTGCCATTATAACAAGCCCTCTCACGTATAGAGAATTGTTTCGCCTTTGCATGTGGAGATGCGTTGTCCTCTATAACGTATACTGTCCTCCCTATACGCCGTAAAATCGTATCTACCCATGGATATAACAGAGGCTTAAGTATAGTCTCCTAATAACGAACCCAATTGATTCCTCCTTTGCTCTTCTCTCCACGCTCTGCCCTCCCTATTTTGAACTCCCATTCAGGGCGACGCTGGCGACGCGGGCGGCCTGAGGGTAGAAGCTCCTCTCGACCAAGTCGCCGGATGTTCTCGCTGAGCATTCGTAGAACACGATACTCATTTGTACCAGGGATTTGTGACCTTCTCTGCATAGCCTCCTCTCCATAGCCTCCTCTTCATATTGATTCTCCCTATTCTCCTTATATAGCTTGAGCCTATTGATTTCCTTCTCTTACGGTGATTCCTTCTCCCATATGTGAAACAGCCCAAGGCCAAATCCATGGCAGATACCACCCCAAACCATTACTAATTTAAACGTATTAGGAGGAGGACGGGCGTGCTTAAAGACGTTTGCGCCTTTTTGTATAGAGACTTTTGGTTTTTTCTGTGATGATCGCTTTTAATAGACATTTCGTCAGAAAACACAACGAGACAGCCCTCATTAAAGCTTCTTAATAGCCTATTAAGAGAATGTGAGGCGATTAGCCTTCTACTCTTCAGTAAACTGGATTTTCTAGGGTGGATTTACCTGAAAGATCTCTGAGTCTGTCAGGACCTTCCACCCAGTAGAATATGGGGTCCTGACGCCGTGGCTCCTCTCTACTTCCTGTATAACTGTCGCCCATGGTTTATCCTCTTGATGCTCATCGCATGTGGCTGTCTCTACCAGAGCTTCCTGTACAGACGATCCCTCAGGGAAACGCTCCTCGCAGCCGCGATCGGTAACGGCCGCGATCGGTAACATCCTCGAGATGTTTTAGAAGGAGAGTAAGAGGATGGGGGAGAGGATCGTGTTGTACGCCAGCGCGCTAGGCGACGCGAGTATAGAGTTGTTGTGCTCCCCAGGGTGGGCAGCCAGAGACTTTAGTAGAGATACCCGTCCATCCGCGACCCTCACAACGCAGGGCAACAATAGCAGCTCGGGTAGGGATGTTAATCTGTTGTGAATGAGGTATTTGGGTTGGAAAAGATACATTGATTTGACTATATTTGCTAGTAAATTCCTGATTTTTGATTTAGTGTATACAACTGATTTGGTGAGGCATTTGCCAAGACTCAGAGCCTCCCTGCACGTGACCTTCGGACGTCCTAACTCTGGATTTCTCTTATCTCACAGGTCAGACGCTCCTCCAAGGTTTAACCGGACCAATTAAAGCGCTGTGGCTAGTGATGTCATGTTTTTGCAAACGTCTGCGGAGCGTCTAAGGAGAAATAGAGTAAATTTGTATGTATCTCTGTTTAGCATTTAGCTTTTTTTAACATTTTCTTACCTACAACACAATAAAATAGATATTTGTTGTAAGGACGGAGCTCTGTACCACTACGCCAATACAACCAAAAAGGTGCGAATAATCAACCAACAGTTAATTATTGCGTACAGAATAGTATATATACCCGTCGCACGTAAGCACCATCTCGGCCTTACACGTAAGCGCCATCCTGGCCTTACATTATCCCCCTTCTTAGCAGACGCATGTCCCAGGCGTCACATGACCTACCCGCAGCTCAGAGGCGCCTATGCGCATGTCTCGGTTACCGGCCAGAGGCTGACCACCTGCGGCCCAGAGGCGCGGGATAAACACGACGCAACGCTCAGTGGCCACGCCAGCTAAGCCATACACACTAGACCTCCCAGCAGCTACAACGTGGCGCCAGAAGAGGCCGCCTCACGTTTCAGTCTAAAAACTGGCTAAGCTGTCTAAGGTGTGGGTCAAACGCGCGACCGTCCTTGTTGTTGGTTGATTATTATGTAAGGACAGAGCTCTGTACCACTACGCTAATACAACTAAAAAGGTGCGAATAATCAACTAACAGTTAATTATTGCGTACAGAATAGTATATATACCCGTCGCACGTAAGCACCATCTCGGCCTTACACGTAAGCGCCATCCTGGCCTTACATTTGTTAAATGCAATTAAAACTTAAGTAACTAAGCTATATAGTAGTTATATTTTAAAAAAGCTAAACTTATAATTTAGGGGTAAAGTACACTGCTAAAGCTAGTTCTAAGTTGCTTTGCACTAAATTACCCTCCCTTATGCAACTTAACTACTAGAGCAGCTAGAGGCAAGCTAAGAGCTAGAGCTAGTTGCACATAAGCAGGCTAGTTAGCTCTAACTCTTAGCTTATCTCTAGCTACTCTACTAGTTAAGTTGCATAGGGGAGGGTAATTAGGTATAATTATATAAGCTTTTAATTAGATCCCTCTAGGCAGCGTACAGAGGGAGGTTTAATTAAAAGTGCAAATGCATATAATAGTTTAAGCCCTAGGCAAGCTTCTGTTTAAACAGCAAGCTGTTAGAGGCATGTTGTGATAAAGAAGTACGTTAGTGAAGTGGAGAAAGTTTGCCTAATAACTGCAGCTAAGACACACTAAAGCTTGTACCATTTTCTCTCAGACCCTCTGGAGTGATTCATCGAGCGTGGCGCAGCAGCGCAAAGCCTCCTCGGCAATCGGTACTACCTATTGCCGACGCCCGGTGGATCCTCCAGAGGGTATGGCTCGTGAGATAA